CCTTGGGACCAAAATTTCTTTGGTACATTCATTTGTAGCATTAGTGCTCTTGTTTTTTCAAGTAAGTCACAGTTTTTGCGTTCGGCTACACCATTTTGTTGAGGTGTGCCAACACAACTTGTTTGATGCATGATGCCATGAGTGCTTAAATATTGTTTCATGATATGGGACATATATTCGGTGCCATTGTCAGACCTTAAGGTTTGAATTTGAGAGGAGAAATGGTTTTTAACAAGGTTATGAAAGTCCTTAAATACTTCCATAACTTCATTCTTAGACTTTAGAAGATACAACCACGTGACTCAAGAGAAATCATCAACAAAGATCACAAAATACTTATAACCATTAAAAGATTCACTAGTTGGTCCCCATACATCTGAATGAACTAGTTTAAAACACTTACTAGCCCTGGACAAGGAAAAGTTAAAAGATAATCTAGTGGCCTTAGACAAGTGGCATGTTTCACATGAAATAGCATCCTTCCCTAAGTTTGGAAATAAAGTTGACAAAATGGGTGGAGAATGGTGAGCTAAACGTTGATGCCACAATTGATTATCTTGAATGAGATTGAACTTGGCTTGGAATCCTCTGGGATTGCTTTTTGATATGTAATAGAGACCTTCTAAATAAAACCCTTCACCAATCGTCTTCTTGGTGGCACAATCCTAAAAGATGACATTGTGAGGAGAAAATATAGCTAAGCAATTCAAGGTATTTGTGATCTTTCCCACAGATAGAAGTTGAAATGGGAAGGAAGGTACATACAAAGCCATTGATTCAATTTCATCTGACATTATTTTTATTTTTTCCTTTCCTAAAACCTTTACACTTTCACCATTTGCAATTGAAACTTGGGAAGGATTAGTGAATTTTTCAAACTTTTGAGACTTAGACACATGGTTAGTCATATGATCTGTGGCACCCGAATCTACAACCCAAAAATCATGCAACATATTTATTTTAAGAGCAGTTTTAAAGGCTTTCATGATACCTTGCATGTTCTCTTGGGGTACGGGTTTCGTGTCTGCCAAGAAACCCGCAAACTTGCCGAGCAATGTCGTCGTGTTCCCTTTTCCTATGCTGTCTGCACGGTCAATTCCAGCCTCTCCTTTCTTGCCTTGAATGTAAGACATAAACTCATTCATGAGTTCAGTTGGATTCGCTGTGAAGTTCTTGAATTGATCAGACCCATTAGAGTTGGAGGCAGACGCATGATTTGCTCGATGTGTAGTACGATTCACCCTTTGTAAACCCTTGTTGTCCTTCATGAAGTCAGGCTTTAATTCTGGGTGTAAAATCCAGCATGTGTCTTTAACATGACCTATATTGTTGCAGTGTTGACACTTCAAGTTCGAATGTTTCCTTTGTACTTTCTCTCGTTGGTTAGATAGACCCTAGCCTCAGGTACACTGGCCATTATACCCATGTTCATGACTTTCCTCCTTACTTCTTCACGTTGGATTGTTGCACATACACTGGTGAAGGAAGTTCAGTGTTCATGAGTATGTGACATCGTAAATCTTCATACGTTGAATCGAGACTGGACAAGAGGCGAAATATCTTGTCTTCTTCTGCTTTCTTTCGTAGCAATGCTGCATCGGTTGTATGAGGGCGATAAATTTCCAACTCATTCCACATGTTTTTCATGCTTCCTAGGAGTTGCACAAACGGCTTGCCGTCTTGTTGCAGATCGGAGATGTCCTTCTTTAATTGGAAAACCCTTGCAGCATTGTTCTGGCTGTCATACATTTCGTTGACCGCCTCCCATAGCTGGTATGAAGATTCAGAGTAACTGAATATTTCAGTTAATTTCCGTTCCATGGAATTCAGGAGCCATGACATAACTAGCTGATCCTTGTTAAGCCAGGATTCATAGGTTGGTGAGGAAGCATCAGGTATTTTGATGCTTCCATTTATGAACCCTAACTTGGACCTTCCACATAGAGCCAGAGGCACTGCTCTCGACCAAGGCAAGTAATTAAACTCATTCAACACGACTGAGCTTAATCTTTGATTTGGGTTGACATCCACCTCATGCACATTCATGGAGGAAATCACATGTGCACTTTCAGCTTCTAATCCTAACGAATTGTCTTCGGTCATTTTGAAGATTGAACACGCTCGCTCGGATAGTAGTACAGCAGAGGCAGGTTAGATTTCCTGCTCTAATACCACGTTGATTTTCAAAGTATGTTTTGTATTTTCATCATAATATCATTACAATTGTACAACAATATATAAGGAGATTGACTCCTTGATTTACACCACAAAGGTGGCTTAGGGAAGACAACCGACCAAATGGTTTAGGGAAGACAAGCTCCTTGAATTAAGGAGTTGACACAAAGTTGATTGACACAAAGTTGTGATTGACACAAGATTGATTGACACAAAGTTGTGATTGACACAAAGTTGCTTCCAATAGAAGTCATGAGTGATCATTGGTCTGGTGCTTTGGGTGAAACCAATTCCCAAGGTGTGTACAGGGGATACATATTCACCGCAGCATAACTAGCATTTTCAACTTCATGTTGCCAAGTTGCAAAGAACAATCCAAAATAAGGCAACCTATTTCAGGATTCGCCCCGCCTTACAAACTTGCTTCCCATTGTTATTGTCATTATATATTAAAAGTTAATATGATTTGTGTTGCACTAACAAATCATTTTTTTTAATTATGCAGGTTACACAGAATTATCAATGCTTGACCAAACTTGCGAAAAACAGGACATCTTTCAAACCAACAGTAGCATGGATGGAGTACGATAATGTTAGTCGCAAGCACACAAAATTTCAGAGAGCAATAATAATCTCTTTTTGTTCTCCAACACTATTGAAAACCTTGGTTGTTTGGGAAGAAAGAATTAAAGTCTTGCATGAGAAGATTGTTGCATCAAATTATTAATAGGGAATTTGCATACTTCTACGTATAACATTAATTAATTAGAGTTCATTTATGCAGGGTGCATGGTCTTTTGCAAAGGAAACATACAAATTGAAGGTCAGTAATTTTCAGGTTCTTTAAAATTCAATCTTTTTCAAGGACTAATGTTCAATAATCTCATTAAAATATAACCCAACGTGAATAAAAACAAAAATCATTTTATAGATCAAAGATGAATTAATTATTTAAACTGGCATTCGTGTGTTCAACTTTGGAACATGCAGTATGTGGAAGACGCATTTGGTGAAAATGTGGATGATTCTATCAACAAGAATACCTACAACATCTCTAGTCCTGACGATTTGGATGCACTGCATGCCATCCTATGTGTGAGTTCACAGTGTAAATTTTAATCATGAGCGCTCAAGCCCTAACTAGTTACACGTGTCACAATTACTTACCTCAGTTTATTTCTTCATGTAGACCGTGGATGTGGTTATTGATGAAACATACACTTGGGATCCAGTTATGTACAATTCATCAACGTTTCTGCAAAATATAAACGTGGAAGATCATTCTTGTTTTGCTTTCCTCTCTAACCAAAGCATTTGGAGATACGATAAAAGAGTTCAGAACTCAACTGCCCTTGGTGAGTGTTTTTATACATATATTGCATTCTTTTTTATATTTAACGTTGAATTTTTTATTTTTTTAAAGGCAATTAAAATAGGATAACGATTTGGTCTTAAGCAATTGAAATAATAATTTCACTGTGTGCTTTATATTTTAATGAATAATTATTTTCTATACCTTGTTATCGTTGAAATATTATTTTTTTATACTTGAAAAATAGTGCATAATTGGCATCTGTATTTGCATGTAAAGACTGGTACAATGGAGCAATCTCCCAGCCTCAACTGGTCTTAGCAGATCTCATTGAAGTACTGTTCCCTACCGGAAATTATACAACAACATACTTCAGGAATATTGCAAAGGTACGTAGATCATCGTCTGATAAAATCGCATAAAATCGATTTTTTTTTTTTTTGTAAAACTCGTAGATTTAAGCATCTGAACATGCAGGATGACGGGCTTGTGAACATAACTTCTGAAATGTGTGACAGAGATATCTCCTCTGCAATGGAGCCTACATTACCAGCTTGTGCATAACTTGCTGGTTGCATTTTTCTATTTCAATTTGTGGCCGTTGAATTTTCCCTCTACAAGTTTTATGACATTCTTCTGCTCTATTGCTTTAGTCAGTTACTTTTTTAGAAGTTCAAAGGTATAGAAGGGTTAAATTTCTTGAAATATCATTGTTAAATTTCTTATTGTAACATGGCCAAAGGCCCACATAATAATACTAGTATTAGTTTTTCTGCAAGTGCCTTCGCATATGTAAAACGATTCTTTTTTATTTTTTATCACAACGTGCTACGAGCAAGTTACAGTTTTGAGTGCATTAATCTTTGCAATCACTCATATTTGAAAAAATAATAGAAATTGGTTCTTTTGTTTTTTTTTTTTTTTTGCACACCCTCTGAACTCATTTGTTCAACTTACTATTGTAGCAAAACAAAATCTTGTCAATATTATTCTGCAAAAAGAATACTACTATTACTACTTTTTAAATAGGTTTATTTTTAGTTACATTCTTTAAAACTCGATTTTTGATCCAATTTTCTATCTTGAAATTCAAAAGCTGTCATTTTACTCCTTGCAAAACAATTTTGACATAATAGACAAAATCTCATAAGTAAAGCAAATATGGAGACTTAATGTGCAAAGTGACAACTTTTGAGTTTCAGGAGAAAAGTAAAATCAAAGTCGAGTTTCAGTAGGTGTATCTAAAAATAAGCTTTTTAAATATTGACATGAACTTTTGATCATATTATTTTAGTGCAGATGTTGGCATTGTCATATTAGTTAGAACGGATGTCCTTCTCACTATGCACTCGAGTTCGAATCTTCCTCATTACAGTTTAGATTAGTTCAAATCTTCCATCACTATGTACTCCGCAATATATGAAGATCCTCTTATGTTACTGATTCTCATATACTCTACATAATCAACAAGAAATTATTTTGATTTCACCTGCAAGTCTGCAACTCCCGTAAATGTCCAAATAAAAACCTACAAATAGAAACCTCCTAGTAAAACGCAATCCCAAACAAACTTTAGTAATTCGTCCAAAACGAAAAATCTATGCAATGCCATTGCTCGAAATTCATATGATACACAACTGCAATACAATATTTACACAAATTGGTCCTTTTAAAGATCTATAAATAGCAAAATAAAGCAAAAGATCCAAGAAAAACATATAGAAATCTCGATCTGGCCAGCCTAATGGCAAAAAAGATTGTCCCAAAAAAGATCGAAGCGGATACTAAGATGCATGGACGGACTTCTAGTATATGTGTCCTCCTGATGCACTCCTGTTCCAAGACAAGTACGATATATCCCCAAGAGGCCTGCACAAAAAGGGCGAAACAATTTCAAGCACATCTCAGTAGTAGCTTGGGCATAGATACAACACTGCCGATTGTGTTCGATATATAGGGACAGTAATCCACTAAATATTGGTTTCGTAGAGGAATTGATCCATTTTAGCAAAAAGACCAGTGTAAATTTACCGTAATTGTCTAAAATAGAATCAAGTTTTAGTTGATCATTGCAGACTGTATGACCTGTGAAATAATTCACGTACCTTGGCTTGATCAGATAGAGAAGTAGGAATGCTAGAGCCAAGAACAAACACAGCCCACCAACAGTAAGGTATGCCACGCCTAGTAGATAATTCTTTCCGCCAATCCAGCTTGCAGTTGAAAGTACCAACTTCTTATTGCCACGGAAGCTGTAGGTGTTATAATTATTCTCTATTGTCACAGTTACTACAGCATCGGCTTCAAGGTCCACTTCTATTCTCCCGTACAGTTTTCTGAAAGTTGGCAATGCTGCAGTTCGCATCCAAACCATAAGATCTTCTTGTTCACTCAGCTGTTGATCGCAGAACAAGAAAAGGATATTAATTTAAAGCAACAAAATAAGGATGGCAAACAAGGGGAACAAAAGACAGAAAGTAGGTGAGAAGATTTACAGGTATGCTAGAATTCAGTTTTGCTCCTCCAATCAAACCCTCGCTCTGAAAATTCTTAGGATAGACGTCTGAGCCAAATTTGTTCTTTTGGTCACTTTTCCATGTGATGTCCTTTTTGCTGACTCCTAGTTGTTTGTTATTCACTGAAAACTTGTATGTGTCGTTAAACAAACTCCATGCAACGAGACCACACGGAACAATTACACCCTTTGTTGTATAGCGTTCAGGAGCACAGTCATCTGTTTTATTTTCATTGGACTTGCTCCGCAATTGCTTGTCGCTTCTACTTTTAACATATCTGGAAACAATAATAAACATACTACATAAGAAACAGAATCATAGTATTTTAGAAATTCAGAACTAGAGGGATAAGGGGAGAGGGGGTCGGTGGGGGATGACGTTTTATAGTGTGGCCTTTTCAAGTTCCTAATAAAAGTTTTCTAAAATTCCTGTAATAGAAATGCTACACATATAAAATGCTACAGAAATGATGTCCCAAGTAAACTGACAACTTCATTTTTCCATCTAAATAAATTCTACACACAAATGTAGGCATCATCATCTCTACATATACTCTGATTAGACAGAGTAGCACCACGAATCAGGTGGCAGGTGAGTGTTTTAACTTGTCGAACATACCCTCAAGAATAACCTACACTGGACAGAAATGATTTGGTTTTCCTTTTAGTTTCAGATAACAATTACAGTTCATCATTCGCATTTACGGGTATGTATCCACATATTGCAGGAAAATTTGACTACCTATGGAAATTGTCTGTAAGGGGACCTCATGTTTATTTTCAGATGTTTGGTGCACAGTACTGGCAAAGAGAAACAGAGGTTTCATGCCCCTTCCATGAATGTTTTATATCAAACAGCCATGTTCATGTCCATGCCATATATTCCATACGAAAAAAAATGATAGTTGACAAGAAAATTTTTACATACCGGCGATGATTCTGATAGAAGTGATCAAGCTGGTAGTAAATGTAAACAGGAGATTTCATTTGTTTCGGAATCTGAAAAACCACCAGTAAACGCACATTATCAGAAGTATGTCTTATCAGCCAAGAAAAGCAGATAAAGACTTTGCAAAATTAGCCTAAACATGACACTGGCTGAGGATCGTACTTACAGTGAGTCTCCTAATGCATGTCTTGTTAGTTTTACTACTCTGAATATATGCAAGCATATTATCCGCATATTTAAGAGGAATGCAATCTTTGTCATAGTGGTGGACGACTTCCACCACCTGCATGTTAAACAAGGCAAAGTTTAGTTTCATGCTCAAGAATAATCAGCCGCCACTGTCCAAACTTCACGATAAGCACTACATAAAGGATGTGAAGATATAATACACGCTCTGATGCAAATAAGGAAGCAAGTCCAATTGGTATAAAGACAATGCCGATGGCGACAAATATTAAAATGACCTGAAATCCAAAAAGGAAACACATTTAGAAACCAAAACACATAACACTGAAGCAAAATCTGCAACTGAAAAAAAAATAAATAAATAAATAACAAAATGCAGTGTAACCTATACCGACGCTGGTGTTAAAATTGGTTTGCAAGCTGGAAGCTCTTGCTGTGTGAACTTGGAATCTGTAATGCATCATAGCATGCACCAAGCATATTACTTTCGTTAGAATAACGCTTTAACACCATCCCAAAGGGACTGGATTATGCCCAATGAAAATCTAACTGCATCGACTTTTATCTGTTTTTATATGTTTTCATGAATATATAGAAAATATGTTGCTGGATTCCTAGAAGAAAAGGTTGTGGTTTCTTCATAAACCAAATAAATTACCCAAGTGGATAGAACCCTCCTTTTTAACCCATTGCATCCCATCTTCGTACCCTCCCACTTTCCCCTAGTTTAGATGAATTTAGTGCTAGATTATTCTATCGTATGTCAAATAATTACCAAATAAAGCACAATGAAGAAATAAAACATCCACATTCAAGCGTCCAAATAAAAGTTAAGCCGAAAAAAACGATGGGAAAATGAAAAGTAAACCAAATTACATAAACAGAGACATGCATTCATGCTACACAAAGGGAGAATGAAACAAAAGGGAGTTAGAAAACGAACATTTGGGTTTTCTGGATTTCTTTTTGGTAGAGGAGGTTGGATTTGAGGCTCCATCTTTTGCTTCCATCTCCACGATCCCCTCCCTCTACAATGCCACTATTATTCACACAACAAAATTTGATAAATTGAGGAAAATGGAAACAACCCTTTTGAATTCGACCAAAGAAATAAGAACCCTTTTGGAAATTTGGCAACTTTCTTTGTTCTACTGCAAATTTGGAAGCATGGGAGGATCAAAGTTTTTTCTTTTTGTTCGTTAATCTGAAATCCCACTTACCACTTCTTTTTCTTTTTTGATATTTTTGTGCTTTTTTTTGGGTAGTTGATTGGTGATTTGGTGTGGAAGGTTGTTAGGAAAGACAATGGAACGAAGGATCACATGTGTGCAGCGTGTGCATTTTGGTTGGTTTTTGTTTGATTTGGCAGGAGCGCAACAACCGGTCTTGCATCTCCTAAATCCCGACCTAGTCGTCCTACCAGTCGTATGTTTATTCTTAGACACTCTCCCTTTTCTTTTCTTTTTTTCGGTTGACAACGGGACATACGTTTAAAAAAAATAAATTATATAAGAATATAACGATACTATGACACTTTATTTATATCTGCAACTAGGACGACAAAAAAAAGGAGTTTGCTAAAAAAAGATTGGACCCAAACTGCATGACAAATCCAAACGAGCCAAATCATCATCAACAAAATTCTTTTCACGATAAATATGACAAGTTTCATAAGACCAAGTTTGGCGCATAGAGGCACGAAAATTCAATTCTAAATTTTCCAGATGATGATTATCCACTTTTGCATTTAAAATCAATTATACTGTGAGTAGAGAATCTGATTACACCATAATCTTCTTAATTTCTTCCATGCAAATTGCAGCCTAATAATGTGACACGCATTATCTGACCTCGACCATTACACAAAAGCCAAAAACCCATGCTGCCGACTAGTTTATGAGGACTGCATTGAGAGGTTGATCACTCTCTTTTTATCCTTTTTTTTCTTGTCTTTAACTTATCACTTTTAATTTACTTTATATTTATTTTTGGTTGGATTAAACACCAGAATGATTATCAGAGATTTGATTTCCGTTATTTTGATTACCAAGTACCAGATGATTCATATGTTTATTTATCATTTGATTTGATATCAAACACATCTATTTAATCTTCGTCATTGATATCAATCAAAGGGTGAGTGACCATGTACTCTTTAGTCACCTAGTGAACAAAGAAACATTTTTGTTTCATATTTTCTCTTTATTTCTTTGTACTTATGTTATAGTTTCTAATCATAAGATTTAATAAATCAACCATAAACAAATAACAACATATGAGAGGTGGAGGAGAAAATATAATATAGTGAAAATCATAACCCCTATTCCACTAGTAAGACTGTCGGAGCATGACATGCTGAGCATATGATTTGAACAAGGATTATCTCCCTTATTTTTTCCTTCTCTTTTCTCCTCTTGTTTGAACGCTCAAGATTTCATCTTTGGAGAAAGAGGAAAAAAAAACAAAGAGTGAGAGAGAGAGAGAAGAAGAAGAAGAAACTATGAGAGGAAGTGAGGGAGGAGAGGAAAAAAGGGAAGGAGAGAACCCCCGATAGTTATAGAGATTAAGGAGAGAGTGTGCTTAAAAAGTAGAGTAATGTTATTCATACCATATTTTTATACCATATTTTCATACCACCTTAGGTGACATCTGATGTGGACTGCCACATCATTTGAAAATTTTGCAAAAGCCAAGGAAAAGAAGGAGAAAGACTCGTCGTATACCACAATTATCATTTAATTAACTAGTTTTTCTTAATTATTAGTTTATTAAATAATGAACTAAATTTAAAAATCTGATTAATTAAATGATGTGGCTGTCCACAAATGCCACCTAAGGTGGTATGAAAATGTAGTACAAAAACATGGTATGAATAACATTACTCTAAAAAGAAGAGATTGTTAATTATAAGTACTTTTAATATTTAAAATTAAAATTGATCGATGTGAGCAGGACAAATTGGTATTACAATATCTCAATATTTTTAATACATTGATTGAATTGGATTAAATTGTTATGGCAGATGAATTGAAGAACTGAAAATGGTATAATAATTTAGTCAGAAAGTTTAATTAATCACCATGTAGTGTCATTGAGTAAATCTTAGATGTGGATTACACTAGTTAAGTAGGGCAGTGTTATTTCCCTCCATTTTTTTATTTCACCGAGTTCAAATCCTACTCCCTCTAGATTATACTAAACTAGAAAATATCGTCTTGTAAAAAAAAAAAAATATTGAGTTCATCGTGCATAAAATCACAAAGTGTAAATGAACCAACACCGAACTATTATGTTGAAAATATGAATTGAAAGCCTCACGAACTGTAAATTTGGTATAATTTTATTACATAGAAACAAACTTTCATGCTTCAATGGTTATGCAACAATAATTCTTCTTTGCAGATGAATAATAGGGAGTTAATGTATAGGAAACAGAAGAGGCAGTATTGCAGTTGGGTAACTCAAATGGCAATCCTCGATCAAGCTCCCTTTATTTGACCTTAACTTCCAAACAACCTGAAATTATGCAGTGAAGAACTTTTTTCAGTTTATGCTGGCTTTAAGGAAAACATTGAAAACAAGCCGTTTGTGACGATCTTACTCTTTACCTTTGCAATAGAGACTGTGAGCGCCTTGTGCTGCACATCAATTATTTGTTGTTAGTTTTGGATGAAGAGTACATGATTAGAGAAATACGAGAGGTCATGTTAACAGATGCATTTTAGAACGATAAACATGCATTTAAGACGTGTTCATAAAGTTTCGTTGCTCAGGTTAACATGCCTTGATGTGGTTTGTGGTTGTTCAGGTTCATCACGTGGGACAGGCACATTCTTCACCTGCAACAATACCGATTAAAGTTAGGGTCGAAGTCTCGAGCTTAATAGAATGAGAAATAGATATGTGATGTATCCTATGTATAAGCATAATCTGTAACATACCAGGTTCCTATATTGGAGATTAAAGAACATCTGGATGTATCTTTGCTTTGCCTGTTTCTGCTCTTTGTTCAACTGCCTCCAGAAAGTATAAGTGCTTCCCATGTTCAACACCTTGTTTGCATATATCTTCCAAGTGTAGCTACAAAGTTTTGATAACTTGTTTTAAATTCCATGGGAAATGATGTTGGTTTTTAAGCAAACAAGTACGGATGCAGAGGTTGTGTGTTTACCATTCGTATATGCGCTGCAAGCCTGCTTTGGAAAATCTGTCCCAGTATGCTGCATCAGTCTTGGAGTTCTCAAAGAAATCAGCGATTTTTTTGCTTGCTTCATCACCGTTGTTAGGATCAATATGGAAACCAGAGACCCCATCAACGATGATTTCAGCCGGGCCTCCTTGGTTGATTGCAAAGGTGGGCAATCAACGATGATTTCTTCCGGTCTACTAGAAATCCACTGTTCAAGAAAATGGTTCAGGTTGACGTTAGATTACTTTTGATCAGCATTTGAATTCTAAAAGAATGATTTGCTAGTCCAGGACTTACAGATGTTCACTGCTATCCTCTTTACTAAACAGTAGTTCTTCAATGGCAGGATAGAATGAAGTGAGCCGTTTCTGCTTGTCTGAGTAGGGGAAATATACAGACTGATCTGCCCCAGGAGCGGCAATGTTGAATTTGGGGTCAAATACATTGATGCCAGAAACAACTCTACAGAGCCCCGGGAGTGTAAATGCAGTATGACTTTCGTATTGTCCTGGTCTGTCCTTGCTGCAAAACAACATCCAAGTAATTGCAATGACAAAATCATTTGGTAAGGGTGTCGAATGTATGAATGCTGGTTAATTTTGCTAACCTTCCTGCAATTTCCTGGTATGTGCTTGCAATGACAAAATCTGTAGCATTCATTGAGATTGTGTCAGCAAGAAATTGGCATGAGAAGTGATACTTGGGATCTAACTCCTTCCAGTTGATGTCTGAATCTTCGTACTTGGTCTTCTCCAAAGCATGAGCAATAGTTGCCTAGTTTTCACACGCTACGGATTAGTAAATACAAAGTGGGACAAAATGTGTTACGGTTGTATCTATAATATAAATTAACAGTGACCTGAGTTATCCCAAGTTTATTAGCCATGAGAGAAGCCACCAAATTGCCATCTGTGTAGTTTCCAATAATAAGATCCGGCTTTCCTTCCATCAGGTTGAGAATTTTGGCCGTAGCATCCTAGTAGTTTGAAACAAATGGAACAATTATTTTAGAGCAGAAAGTACATAAGGAACAAAATCAATAATTGAGCACTCTAAAAGTATGAATTTAAATATCGACGGAAAACATGCCTGTGTAAACAACTCAAGATAGGGATAGATGTCAAAACGAGAAACCCAACGGCGCAGGATACCCTTTTCTGTCCTAAATGGCACCCTAAGGATGTTAGAGTACTTGGTGCCATTGATTGGTTCCAACTCCTGGTTGCACTTAGTTCCCCTTGCTTCGGGTATGAGTCTTGTCACCTATTGTAGCCAACAACTGTAGTTAGATAATGCTAAATAAACCGAACTACCTTTCAACATCAAAGCAAATCGTCCATAGTTGTATATGAAACACACCACAAGAATTTGAGGCTTCACAGTAAGTCCTTGTTGCTTAATTCTCAGAGTCAATTCTTCCTCCATAGCTTTCACTTGATCCAGAATGTAAACCACCTGTTTTGAATAGCAGAGTTCAAAAAATTTCGTCTCAGTAACAAATTCGATTTGCAAGGAGACTTAGCATATCGGATACAGTATTCAAATTTATACCTGCCCGCCTGTGTCTGGTAAGCCAAGAACATCTGCTTGGCCAAAGTAGCCATGGGGAGAGAATATTACGACATTGAATATTGTGGGAAGCCTACTGAAAAACCTATCCATGTTCAACGGGTCTGGAGCTTGAAGTACTTCCAAAAGTATTTTCATGGTCTCCTTTGTTCTTTCTGCAGTGTCTCCCCACCCCTTCTCAAAGCCCACTCCTTAAAACTGTAAATGACATTCGGTTTCAGATTGCAAGTTACATCACATGATTCACCGGCAGATAGAACATGAGATGAAGAGTCACCTTAGTTCAAAATTTTGGAACGGTGTGTCCTTAGGGAGATCTGAGAGGTACACTTCCGTTACAATCAGTGCCGCCTGAAGCTTCGAAGCCGTGTTGAGGGTCTCATTTAGAATAAGTTGCTGTAAATTTAAAAACACAAACTATGTTTAAGACCTTATCATTAGAATGAAATTTGAATTTCTCTGCATCAAATTTTATTTTTTGTAGAATTAAATTGTTGTGATTCCCATACTTCTTCCCTGATGATTT